AAATGTTTCTTGAGCAGCAAATCAGCATATTAGAATGATTTCTGAAGATCATGTGACACTGAAGACTGGAGTAATGATGCTGAAAATTCAGCTTTGTTCACAGAAATAAATTATATTTTACAATATATTCACACAGGAAACAGTTATTTTAAATTGTGATAATATTTCACTGTTTTTACTGTATTTTTGATCAAATAAATGCAGCCATGGTGGGCAGAAGAGACTTCTAATGAAAACTATATGAAAAACTTTAACATTCTTACCAACCCCAAACTTTCTGAAAGGTAATGTATTTCTATATATGTGTTTTTTACCTTAACATAAAACAACCATCAACTAAACTTAAAACATATGGATTGATGTGATGTATTGAAAATTGTTTGTAGATGATGCATAGTTACAAAAAATCTAGCTTGGATGACAAATATGAGGATTTGTTAAACTTGCAAAAATTACTTGTTAAAAATGACAAAAAATAATAATTAAATAAAAATGGCTTGGAAACAACTTTCACTCAGAAATTGATGGTAAATTTCAACACATCAAATTAAACACATTTTTGAAGTAGACACACTAAAATAGTATTTTCTTGTAAAACACAATCCAATATTCTTTGTTTTATTTAAATCTTTAAAAAAAAATTACAGTGTAGCTCAGAAGTTGGATTGGTTGACAATTCAAAACAAATCAGTATTCTTTTACACTGCATGATCTATTATCTTTCAGCAAAAAGCACAATGGCATTACATGATTTATTAATAAAGAAAGCTGAATTTTTAATCACAAAATATAAATATTTTACTCTGACACACTAAAAATAGCAGTTTTTCTATCATATTTATGGTAGAGCTAGTGAAAATGTTTGCAGATATAAATAGAAGTCTTGACCAGGCAAGTGGGAAAAAAACGGTTTACAGCTTTAAAATTTCAGTGATATCTTATTTTTTTCTTTTCTATGTGCATATTTCTGATTATATATTAATGTACAATACATACAGCATTGGAAATATGAATGTAAATGTTTACCTAATGTTGAATCTGAATAATAAATAAATAAATAAAAAATCCTTTTTAACGGTGCACTTCCTCTCTCTCGCTCTCATATACACAGTACTTTACAGAATAAGAGTAAAACATGCATTACAGCCACTCCACAGTGAACTTTACATATGCAAATGTTTAACAAACCTTCCCAACAGCCATGAAGAAAGAATAACAAGCCGGACAAGCTCAAATAGAGACCAGCCATGCAAAAAAACCCAACCCTCAGTCTTAAACTCAACTTAAGTAGTTAATGCACTCAACACACTTCACTATGAACATTTGAGGATCCTGCAGATTAAATGCAACATGCAATGATCGAATAACAACAGCTGCACTGAATTGCATATGCAAATATCACAGAGCTGACGTCACCGTCACGCAACGGCACCCCTGCAGTGACAACAACTTTGAGGAGAGAATAGTTGCCATGGTAACGCAAAGTGTTGGGAAGTGCTGTAGCTATGGCAACACATCAATATGGGAAACGTGATTGGATAATGCAGGTTTATTTGAGAGCATCTGCAGCGTGTGTACAGGTATGACGTGTGACATGACAGAGCTATTACAGCATCCATCGCATTCACAGCGTTTAAACTATGACTGCAAGAAAAAACAAGGTCAGGTTGCTATAAATAACCTGATTCATGAATTATTTCTGCCAGAACATTACTGACGATGTTTCTCAAGTCTACACCTAAACAAGTACACTAAAAAAATGTGGAACACTGTTGCAAAATTAACCCCCGACACAACCCTCACATGGTTTCCATAGCAGCAGAGACATGATTTTGTCTCAATAATGATGCAATTCATTCACAATCACACACATGAAATATATCTCAGGACGCTTTCTGATGACATTGTGTGGTTTGTGATCTTTAGCGTGCATGAGTGTGACTCTGGTTTATTTATGATGCACAGATCAGTGTTCAAATCCCTCCTCTGTGGTTCCTATACATAACAGCAGTATTTTATGCTTTTAGAACAGTAAAAACTGCTAAGTTTGGTGTACGTAAGTGCTGATGGAGTGCATGGAGAAACAAACTCATTTTAACGAAACGGCCTTTAAAAATATGTATTGTACTTGAAACCTACAAACACAAATAGATAAAGTGCAGTAAAATAACCACACAAAAGTGTATTTTGGATGTTTTCTTACATTATTTCAATAAGTTTATTCAGTTTTAGTTATTTTAGTACTTAAACTAAAAGAAAATGGGAAATGTTGTGTTTGTGTGTGTGTGTGTATGTGTGTGTGTGTGTGAGAGAGTGTGTGTGTGTCAGGCGTAGTGTGTGAGAGTGTGTGTGTGTG